ATTACAGAAAGATAACGCCTAAACGGTATTGGAACAGTAAGAAGAAGTAATATGCTTCCAAATGAGTGCAATAGTCTAGGATTTGATGACCCGAAGAACTTTAGAACGATCGTTAAAAAACCTGTATAGCAGAGACTAAAATTTACATATTTTAGCCGCTAACGGTCGTCCAGCAATGAAATGCTGGGAATGGCAGTAAAATAAACAATTTCCTCATTCTAACTGCAATTTCGTTATCTGGATGGATAGTAGTGTTGATGGTAAAATTATGAGGCAAAAGTTTTTTCGAGTCCAAAATCGAGTGGAACGCTTTTAGGGAGACTGCCTCTTAAATTGTCTTGAGTAGTATAATCCCCCAGAAATTCTTTGAATTCAGCTTTCCAGTTGCATGCCCGACCACTGTGTGTTAGAAGATATCATATCCGAGGTATTTGTGTTAGCTGCTAGACGGCTCCGCTTAGAATTTGATTGACAGACGTTTCCTATTCAAGTACATGTATTTAATGGGGAATTAAGCAATGTTAAGTTACATGAAACTACTGGCGGTCAGGGGGATTGCTAAATCAGTCGTTGGTTTTTTATATCTTGGTCATCAAAATTCAATTAAACATCTAGCGTATGAAATCTGATTTGAATAACTCAAAGCTAGACAGTAAGATTAAGGCAAGATAAAGGGTTTATTCCTCAGTAAAGCAGTTTGTAAAAACAGTTAACCGGGAAATGCAAGTCTCACAAAATTTGAGCCGGTAATATTCAACCATCGTCATTGGGCAAAACCCTGACCGCTGTGATGGATGAAAAGCAACACGATAAATAAAGTCCTTATAAAAATTACTTTGCTTGTTATAAATTTATAATAGCGTAGTTGCTGAACTGGCTGTTCCTTGCTCTGAGAGAAAATAATTTTAATAAACCCCTGCAGCCTTGATTAATATTAGTTAGGACGTTATATGATTCTGGACGTTAGATGATTCTACTGTGAGTTTTCAAGTGGGAAGTAATGAGCTGATAAAGTGGTTTAGTTTAAAATTGTTTGATGATAAGAGATTGCTAGAAAAAAACTGTAAAGTAAAACTTCTGAAGTGTATTTTGAATAAAATAAAGTAACACGTGAGAGATTGCCTTGCGTCTGTATAAGACTCGACCAGGGAGGTATAATTGCCTATCTACCCCTTTTCAGGCCTCAGGTATATAAAAGGGTATGGATTTCATTAAAGTATATGAAAGGATAAAGAAATCAGTCGTTTCGCAGTGGACCAAAAAGGGCTAACAGGCGCATTTTATGGATGCGGGAAGCGGACTGCAAGAAAACTCTCTGGCTTAATGATTTACTTATATTAAGAAGATGGAACTACATTTAAAGTAGTTAAAAATGAACAACAAGGGATGCAACCTCGTCCCAGGCCCTTCTCCCTAGCTTTGGAGGCTCCCCACCTCTAAAACCAGGGAAAAGAGCCCTGGGGACGAGTTTGAAAAGGGATGCAGTGTTTTAAGCCGCTAGGTATGTAAAAGGCTCACCATATCTCAGTACCTTTTCTGTAAAAAATGGTGAATTAAAGGTAAGGGGTTGGACTACGGAGCGGAGCCTCCTCGGATAAAACGTCAACGAGTACCCAGCTCCTCGGGGGACTCGACCTAAATTCGATCACGGGAACCATCCAACACCCCTATTCTGCCTATTTCTGATTTATCGTAGCGGAGCGTGAGTTCTTTGCGAAAGTAAACTTTAGTACTAGATACTGGCAGCGTATTCGTAAAATATCAGGTTATTTTATTTTATTTTATTTATTTATTTAGTCACTCACAAAACCTTATACAACATGAACAAAAGTTGTTAATTAAATTATAAAATTAATGTGACAAGGAAGCCTAACGAAGCTTGAAGCTTATATTAATAGGCTTCCTTCAACTACCTAATGAACTAAATTCATGGCGGAGTTTTCGGGTGTTAGTCATTGTACTGGAATTTATTGTACCTGATGAATTTTTTACCGTGTATAAATAATGATTAAATCGAGATTAAGTCAAGATTAAAGGACAAATGAGCTTTAAGCAGTTTGCTATTTTCTACCATTTGACCACAGTGAAGGGCTATTGCCAATACCATAGAAGCTAATTCTGTTTCTTTTTCTTGGGTTTTCTCTCATCTTTAGCCAAAAAGTGGCCTCTCAGCATTTTACAGCAAAAAAAGTGGCTATTATCTTGTTAAAGAAAAAACTTAATCCAGGCACGTAGGGTAAGACACAACAAATAGCCTGCGTAGCTGACCGTTTTTTTGGTGTGTTTTTCTGCCCAACTGTGTTCGAGAGACACCCGCGCGCGAGTCAAAAGGGAAAACGCGCGAGGTCAATGGAGAAAACGCTCGAGGTCAATGGAGCTAGACAACATAAAGAAAGAAACCTCAGTATTTTTGTTTTCACCCTTTTTCTTTCTTGAATAATGATAATAATCATAAAAATTATCTACTCCCCTTACGGGGCTTTTCAGGGATAATGAACCGATAAAGAAAATTCAAATAGAACATATTAGTATTTTTAAGAATCCCAACTGGCCTAGTGAGGCAAATCAGTTGGCTATTGTACGAGCTTGACCGAGGATTTGAACTTAGGACTACCGTGAACAAATCCTGTTAGCTGTGAGGGAGGGACTTGAACTCGCAGCTTCCGGATTACAAGTCCAGCGCTCTAACCACTCGGCCATGCTGTCCCATAGAATGAATAAATAAGTTAATTAATTAATCAATAAAATAATTAATTAATTGTAAAAATCGATCGGCACGTCACAATACTCTATGAATCCAAGCAAGCCTGGGGAGAGACACCTTGTTTCAGGGAATTGATGAAGAGCCGGGAACAAGTAGTGAAGTTAAAAGTACTTTATAATCCAAGGTTCGACAAAGTGCAGGCCCGGCGGCCATACTTCAGTGTTAGGTTTGCACACTAGCAAGGTAAGAGTGCAAGCAAATTTTTTTATGCTAGGAAAAGCATAGTCATCCATCTTTCTTTTATAATTCGTTGTTATATTAATAAAAAACTAAACTGAAATTGTTGTTTCCACAAGAGCTCGAAATGTTGTATTGTGCAAGCCATTTGAGTACAGCAGCAACTTGCGCCAGTACCAATAGGTGTTTCAGTTTTACTCCCCCTGGGCGCCACTGTTTACGATATTTTTAAACACACCCTCAGGCGGGAGGAAAAGTCATGCCAGTGGTCTTTCAAAATTGCCATTTAATTTGTTTCAATACTTTACAATAATGAAGCAAATAACTAGCTCCTCCATAGATACACAATTTAACTGTTACGATCATATTACAGTGTATGTTATGTTATGTATAGTGCCCCCGGGATCGATGTTTATTTGTCCATGCCTCCATATGCTTTGACCCTATATCTTGAAATGTTTTACTACCCAGTTTTGGGATTCATGAGAGGGGACTCTGTGATGCCTTTTCTTTCCAGCGCAGGGAAACGAGCCATATGAATTCGTGCCTGATATCATGTACTCTTATTTTAAACACTAAGAATAGAGTTTACTCAGAATATCGCTTGAACCTGGTTTTTGATGGAAAAATAGCTCATATGTGGATGGAATAAAGTCTACCGTCATTTATTCCTCAGTTTTATCCCAAAAGAAACTGAGGTATTACAAAAAAAAGTCAAAGAATGGAGGGATTTAGTGGTTGCACAATACAAAGATTGTAGGAATATTGCACACTACAAATGAAAGGTCAGATTAAAGGCCTCGTAGTTTATGACTTGAGCATGCAAATAGTTGTTGAAACGTTTTATACAGCACGCTTAAACACATCCTGGAGAAGTCCAGTTTTCAGTTATTTTTTATTTATCAAAACACAAACACATTAATAACACTTGGATTTGCTTTATCGAATATGCACCTAATGCCGATGTGTAAGATGGAAAGCCCAAATTTACAAATATAATAATATAAACTTAATGTCAGATCCCGAAGGAAACAGTTAGTTTTGTTTTCCCGCGAGTCCTGATCTTTCCCGAGACGAAGTCTAGGGAAACATCAGAACTCGAGGGAAAAAACAAAACTAACTGGTTTCCCAAGGGACCTGACATTAAGTGTATAATATACAGACCTAATGTATGCCTTTCTATCGTGCTTACGACTTGTTGCGTAGTGAACCTCATTTTAACCAGTTTCGCAAACTCTGGCATGGCTGATTTTTTTCGCTCATTTGAGAAGTTATATCAAATTCTCAACAATATGTTTCATCTTATATCCAGACACCTCAAAATTTGACTGAAACATTCAATGTATTCTATGTTTTTCATTTTACGGGGTTCTCGCCAAAAGCGTTGTTCCACTTTTCGCTATATAAAACAATCACAGCCCTTAAAAAGCATTCACTTTTTTCAACCACAACATTTTGTTTACATTTTAATTTGTCCGTGCTACAATATTTAAATCAACTGCTGTTTTAGAAGCCACCTTAAATTCTAAGTACACAGTACTATACAGTTGTTCCTTCAATGGAGGTCAAATATTACAACTGGAACAATTTCTATGATACTAGTAAAAACTGGTGACGCCCCCCCCAAAGAATGATGAAATTTAAGCCATAAAACATTTGTGTAATAAGGTTATGCCTAGTGATTCTTGAAACAATTTCTTCACGTGTCCTAAGTTCTTTTGCACTTTCTTGCAAGGTAAAAAAATTAAAATACAATAAAAAATTTGATGCAACAGGAACAGGAATTAGATTGATTTCTTTTTAGCTTGAAAAACAAAACGTAGTTGAAAGACTGAAATTTATTTCCGTAGAATCATCAGAGTTAATTTTTTTGGTGACAAGACTTAACAAGTTCAAAAATGTTACCCGATAAAATTGGGAAAAGGCTGGATTTGTTGGCTAGAAGATACCTTGAGCTACAAATGTTACGATCCACTTTCTGAATGGGGTTAACTATGTTGAAGGCCGTTAGATAGACTAATACATAGGCCTCTGTGTTACCTCAGATTGTACTAAAATCATGTCTGCCGAAATGGACCGGTCCAGCCTCTTCCAATCAGCTAACGAACGCCCTGAACCAATCATCGCTGAGATAAAAGGTATCATTCCCACTTGGCTGACGGGAACCTTGGTAAGGATTGGACCTGGCAGATTTGAGTGCGGTGAAACGCCGCTCAAACACTGGTTTGATGGCCAAGGACTTCTGCACCGCTTTCACATAGAAGCCGGTCACGTGACATACAGTAACAAGTTTGTGCGAAGCGACAGCTATGCCGACACCTTAGAACGTGGTAATCTTTCTCATCTAGAGTTCGGCACATTTGTTCCTCCTGATCCCTGCAGGAACATCTTTTCCCGTTTCTTCTCTCGCTTTCGTGGAAAAGAACTCCCCTTTGATAACACCACTGTCAACGTGTTTATGATGAAAGACAAGATGTTCGCAACAAGTGAATCTAATTTCTTATATGAAATCGATGCTAAGACTCTAGACACCTTGAGGAGGGTGAACATCACGGATGAATTTCCTGGTAAGTAGCTGTATTAAACTGTGCAGGCAGGTTCGCCTATCCCTGACTCGTCCCAGTCGACTCTTTTGTCTCGTCTTGTAAGCCTAATCTTCAGCTTGCTGTTGCGCATGCTTGGCAAGTATGACGTAGCATGAATGGAATGAATTGAGCGCGATCTGATCGCGCGCGTTTGTACCCTATATCACGTGAGATGTAAGCAAAGCACCAGCGTTGGAGCAAAGGCATTTTTACCTTCGATTAGAAGCCCGACACTCGTTTGCACTCCCTAACTGTTGTTACCAAAAGTTAAGTGTGAGGCAAAGACGTTTATGAGCGTAACGCGTCAACTGGAAGTGAGGACTTGACGATACCAAATTATTTTTGCCAAGTGTCTTTACTTTCACGATTTTCCACTGCCCAAGAATGCAATACGTCCACTTCGGTTTTACTTCGGTCGCTGAAAAACGTCTTTGCTTAAGTAACGGTGGAAGCGCGTGAAAGATGCTACGGGGGAGATGGAAAGGACGAGAAAGGAGTTTCTTCTCCTTTCTTCCATCATTTGCTTTCCCACCTCCGAGGAACTCTGGATGTTAATTACAAACTTTCGTTCTGGAGCATATCCCATCTTACTAGCTTTTATTCCGGTTTAATCTTAGGTTTTTATTTGCAGGTGATGTTAAAATCAACTCTGCAACGGCCCACCCGCACCAAACCCCGGACGGTTCAATCGTCAACGTCACTGTCACATATGGCCGAATCTCCTGTTACAAAATCATCCAGATACCACCCTCCTCGGGACAAGCGGGTGTGAATGCTTTAGAGGGTGGAAGAGTACTTTGCACAATCCCACCTACAAGTGGTATAGGGTACTTTCATAGCTTCTGCCTCACCGATAATTACATCATTGTGACTGAACAACCACTGATGGTTGGAATATGGAAAGCTCTGGCGCACAAGCTTGCTGCCTCCAGTTTTGAGCAATGGCTTCGCTGGGATGCAAAACAGCTCGTAAGATTTCACATTATCGACAGAAAAGATGGTCACCGCGTGGGCATTTTCACAGCAGAGCCATTCTTCGTGTTCCACCACATCAACGCATTTGAAAAAGATGAGGAGATCTATCTCGATGCCTGCTGTTACCATGACAACTCGATTATAAAACAGTTGTACCTTCATAACTTGCGCTCACCTGCAGAAACAGGTCAGAAGAAGTTCGATGTCCCGGATGCACGCCGTTATAAGCTTCCTTTGGGAGAACTTCGTGATGGTAATGAAAAAGAGAAACCTTTGCTAAAGGCAGGTGATGGGATGGATTATTCTTTGCTGTGCACAGGAATTGAATTGCCGAGAATAAATTACGAGGAGTTTAATGGTAAACCATACAGGTTTGTGTCGGGTTTTAATTAGTACCAGACTTTTGAGTCCGATTATAAGGTACTATTTATTGTGATTAGCTATCATTTCGACCGTCACAACCAGTTTAGGGTCTCACCCACAGGCCACCCTGCATAGCATTCAGTTCTTCTGTATAAGTTGAATTGTTTCACCCTGGTTCGAGTCCTTATAACAAGAGTAAAGCCGTACTTGCTTAATTTAACCACCACTGAACACGTATAATGATTTTCAGGTTTGTGTATGGCGTTGGATCATCTGACGTTGGGATCTTTGCCAAGCTCATCAAACTCAATGTGGATACTGGGGAGTTTGTCACCTGGGAGGAGCCGGAAGGGTTCACGTCAGAACCTGTATTTGTCAGGACGCCTGATGGGAAGGCAGAGGATGATGGTGTCATCTTGTCGTGCGTGATTAATGTCAAAGACCAGACCACCTCTCTGTTGATACTGGATGCCAAAGAATTCAAGGAGCTGGGTCGAGCTGTTGTCCAAGAAGTTACTCCAGCCACCCTTCATGGAATCTTTCAGTAGTCGCATGTTCTCGCATGTGGTTTAAGTCAGATTTTCTGTTACCAATTAGCTACCATTAAATGCAGTATTCAGGAGTTCGAAGAGATTGCGAGGCGTGACCATTTTCCTCCCTCTTTAGAACAGAGTATTTTTAGCAATTCAATTGACTCGCTGTCCCTTCGAAACTAACATTGCTATCACCTAGAGATCCAATATATGGATCAACGTAGATAAAGTAACAGGAAGGAACGATCATAGTCGTTACCTGAAAGACAGTTAGTTTCTCTGTTGCTGATGCTTAATTATCTGCAGCTCGAACGCAGTAATTGCTCAGTGTTTATAAGGGCTGAAGATGGGTTGCCAGTTTGAATTGATTCGATCAAACTCTCTTCACTCGACCACTGTGATTCTGAAAAAGGAGTCTTGAATAATTTTCAGCCGAAGTCACCCATACTACGAGAAGCAACTCACTGTGTCAATTTCGTACTGTTTTTAAGAGTTACTTTCCTTTATTTTAACTCTTATTTGGAGCTGAAGTTTGTAACTCCCCGATAGGGTAATTTTAATCTAAAATTAAAACTTTATTTTTTGGAGTTATGACTAACTCCTTGAAAGTTGCCTTACAAAATCCATTTTATATATAAGCTGCGCACGAAACACCTTTCAAGATCTATGACTCATCTAAGCGGAGTATTGTTTTCCTTATATATTTAACAATAACTGGCTTAGCAGCACTTGATTGTTTCTCTCAGTCCTTTCAGGTGTCCTTTTGACGGAGTTAGCAACTGTGACGAAGAAACCGTTAGGGACACCATGGGGGAAGGGGTAGGGAACCTAAAGTCACGGGCGCGCCTTGTACCACAGAAATCGCCGGTTTAACCTTGGCCCAATTACCCGATGTGGTGCCCAATGGGCCATTCACTTTCACTTAATAATTTATTGACATCAAATGAGTTTAATTTAGTTTCGTCTCGGAGACTTTTTAAACAATTACTGGATATCAGGGACTTAAATTAATTCTTTTCGGGACTACTCATTTTGGACAAACAGTGTACAGCAAAGAAGAGAAGCCGGACCTGCTTGGTGTAGATCATTATCGGCAATGTAGAATAAAACTTCAAATTAAATGCAAGGCTGAACGAACAGCTATGGAGGGATTTTATTGCTTAATATTAAATTCGTTGCGTTTTAAAGCAAACGAGAGTGTTACTTGGTGATTATTCAAAGAAGTGTCTTTAAACCCTTGGACGTATAAGGGGAGGGGGGTGGTGGATGTCCCCCCCCATAAGGTTTTTCTGAGTTTTTTCCTAGAGGATAAAACACCAGCACCTGACGTTTTCAGTAGCTGTTTGTTTATCTCTCGCGCCTATTTTGAGACTAGTATAGTGATGGTCAGTTGCTATGGTTACGAGATATGACGTCATAAGTAGAAGGTGGTCAAGCCAATTTGGGGTGAAAATACATGTTTTTTCAACTTCTTTCAACAATAAAACTAAATCTTGTGGCTAAAATCCTGCAAAGTGCTTATTTATGTGTTATTTTTCACGTAAAGCACAAACCTGATTTCTAATTCTTTGTAAAATCCAAGCGGACATGTACGTCCACGGGTCACGTCCACTCGTCTCGTTTTTCAGGCACCCTCACAGAACAAGGCGCTAACTAAAGACGTGGTATATAAGAATGATACTTAAGGGACCAGTCATAATTTAAGTTGGAGGGGGGAGTGGAGGAGAAATTGTTTGTTATTCCAAATTTTTTCCGGACCCCCACTAATAGCACCCATGTTTTTTAGGTACCCACCCTTCAATCATGTTAAAAGATTTAAGGACCCCCCCTTTCTTATACATAATACCCAAATGGTAATAACAAATAACGTTTTCTTTACTTTACCGTTCTTACTAACTGTCACTTCCGAATGTGCCAACTACAACCAGAGAAGCACTTCACACTAAACTGAGAAAGAGATTTCACCTAGAGCCTCTCAGACAGCTTATAGAGCAAGGATATATCAGTGATTGTGTCATAATTGAGATAAGACAAGCCATCGAAAGGTGAGAGGCCGACAGGACCGCTTCAAGGAAGAAAGAAGATAATCAGCCAAAGCTTACTGCTTTTTATATGAGCAGTACATGCTCTAATAGCAAAAAAACTTGACGGTGACACAGACAGTGAGTCCTCATCAACCTCATCTACAAATAATGATTCGGATAGTGAGATTGCATAACATGACTTTATGCATGTAATCATTTGTTAAAATGCCCATGAAATTGTTTCAGTGTGACACAATAATGGAAGTTGTGTTGATGCACCTACTATTTGAGCATTAAATCTTTTTGTAAAAATGCTGATTAAATTGGTTCAGTATTACACAATATAGTACTTTGTGTAAAACTGAATGAAAATCAGGTCCTTTAATACTCAAACATCATGCTGCTCAGTAGGGATGCTACTTAAAAGAAACTTGAAGACCCCCCCAAGGTCATCTTTTGGCATTTTAAGGCCCCCCATATTCCGTCCAAAAAAAATTGAAGGCCCCCCAATTTCTCCTCCACCACCCCCTCCAACTTAAATTATGACTGGTCCCTAACGTTGCTGCATTTCCTAAGTTTTTCACACGACAAAAAGAACGTTCCTGCGTCAAAATACAACACATTTACAACCAACAACGAGAAGTTCAAAGACTACTGCAAAGCTGGACTCCTCGTTCTCGGTTCTTTATATTTTGGCTGATTAGATCTCTTTTCTGGAGACCCAACGTTTACAACTGGCAGGATCTTCGTCCACGGTTTTTTTGCAGTTAATTTAACACATTTACAGCTATTTCGAGAAAGGTTGTCGGAAAAAGAGAACGCGACAATCCCGAAAGGTATTGTGGGTGGTTTTCAGTTCACTGTTCTTGTGACGAAACCCGCCACAAAAGTGAGTCCTCTCCAACGATAACACCGAACATAGACAAACTCAAGAAAACACGTATATAAAAAAATTATACTCGTTTAACTAAGGGCCTGTTTACATGGAGTGTGGGACCCCGGTCTAGTAGGGTTGGTTTCTTTTGTTTTCACGCTCTGGGGGACAAAACAAAAGAAACCTACCCCACTAAACCGGGGTCCCCCACTCCATGTAAACAGGGTCTTAATATCTAAAACTTCCAAATCCCATGCAAATGCAAGGTGTGGCAATAAAGGGACTATTGTAAAAGGTCCGATCTTTTATGTACAATTTTTACGTCTCAAACCGCTGCTCTCTAGTTTAGTTTGGTTTTCCGCAACCGTTCTTGGAGAGGTGTTATGTAACGCACTGACTTCTTGGAGAGATGTTACGGTCTCCACAATACTTCTCCTGCTCTCTCAACTTTTACAGCACATCAAACTGCTTTCCCCCAACAAAATTACTTCTTTTGCCGTGAAGTTAAAAGGAACACCTCTGCTGAAGGGATTTCAGTAGAACGGCTTGTGCTTCAAGGTCTCTCTCTTACTGTCTCCCTGAACGCGCCCTCCGCACTGACTTTTTTGCGACGCGGCTCCATCTTAGGGCCTGTTTACATGGGATGGGGGACCCCAGTCTAGTGGGGTTGGTTTTTTTTGTTTTCACGCTCTGGGGGACACAAAACAAAAGAAACCTACCCCATTAGACCGGGGTCCTCCACTCCATATAAACAGGGTCTTAACATCTAAAACTTCCAAATCCCATGCAAATGCATGGTGTGGTAATAAAGGGACTATTGTAAAAGGTCCGATCTTTTATGTACAATTTTTACGTCTCAAACCTTTGGTTCGCATTTTTGGGTTGCCAATGACATACATTTTTGCTTCTTGTATGGTTATTTTTATTGTGTGCGCGCCTCTGTTGTCCGCAAGAAAAGGATTATACGATCACTGGCGAAAAAGTGATTTTATATAAACATCATCGAAGGCCATAGGCGTACGGGCCGGGGGGACGAGGGGGGCTGCAGCCCCCCAAATTTTGGGCAACTCAGATTTTTTGGGCAGCAAGAGAAAATTTGGGCAAAGCTATTTTTTAAAGACGTTTCCGTGTTTTTTTATTAGTTTAAAGGGACAAATATTTTCGATTTTAATCTGAAAAAGATCCTGAAGTCAGCGTAATAATCCAGTTACTTTCTCTCGAGACACTCACAGTGGTTGCTTAGCACGTGATGAGTTTCTGGTTATAGGGAAGGGTATCATTTGTTGATTTACATATTTATATTTTTTTATTGTTGAGCACTGTACTGTACTGCACTGCACTGACTGGAATGGGCTCTCAGCAGTCGTGAATTGATTAGAATAAGCTTCCGCATATCTTTCTAGAATCATCTCCGCCCGTAGAATAGTATATGGCAGAGAGCATCAGCAACAGTGGGTGTGAAAATGAAGAAGTGGCTGACTAGTACTCAGCTCGAATTACGAGAAGAATATTAAATTTTTTAAATTATCTATCAAGCAATAATTTGTTAAAGTAGACCGAAATGTTTACAAAACCGCTGACAAGAGCACCTCGATACATACTGATGAAATGGAATCCTTCTTTCTAGCGATCGGCTTGAGCTATCTCCTTGATATTTTACCCACGTTTTTAAAAAGATTGAAGCTACTATGAGGTGAAATTACATGTCAAAAGAGATTCGTTTTCTACAGATAACGGCCAAACATCAAGATTTTTTTAGCATATTTCTAAAACTTCATCCCAAAATATCCCGATAACTCTTTTATAGATTCCGTTTTAACTTCACGAACATCGACGCGACTATTGGAGAAAAAAGTTGCCGTGAAGATTTTGTAGGAACAGTTCCCAGTGTCAAGAAATATTGCTGCAAGTAAAATAGACAATGGCATCATTTCGTTGCTATGACAACTCCGATGTCATTAAAACCCTATGATAAATTTTCACCTATATCTAATAAAACTATGGTAGCAATTTTTCCAAATGTTTGTCTATGACGAAGTAGTTATGCTCAAAATTGGGAGGTATTGACCCTGAAAAACTGCCACCTTCATATGCCAGTACGGCCTACGTTACTGTTTCGTAAAAATGTGGATAACTTGCGAGAATTTTTTGGGCAAATAGTTTACCGCGCCCCCTGGCAAAAAATTGTCCGTACGCCTATGTCGAAGGCCAACACCGTCTTTCCAATCTAGCGCATGCCCTTAAATCCGTATGAAAAAAAAACCAGCCTTGTGGCAGAGGTTCGTCTGTTTCGTCACCCGATGAATTTATCTTCATACTTAAATACTCGCCAGCGCTCACCTCACTCAGCGGGACTTTATCGAACTTCCATGGGACTGGGGAGGAGTGGAACCTGACTAGAAGATAATCACAGGTGATCAGCTAACAAAAGACTGTGCACTAAACTATTGCTCCAGACCTAAGCTTAAAGGAAGGAACAGGTAAATTAGTGCAAGATATTTCAAACAGAAAAGCCTTGTTGAGGGTTGCGTTTATGAATTGAGTGACATGTATTACGTAAGAATCTTCAGTTGTGTGTTCTTTCCAAGGTGTTGAGGCCTTGCTTGCTGGACTGAGAGCGATGTTTTTCTATATCTTGGATGCCAAATTTGGGATATTTTAAAGTTTCGATATATATTTTTAATGAACAAGATATAATTATGTTTTGTTGTTACTCACATCATCGTTACAACAAAGTTGAAATTATAACCGCCTCAAACAGGATGTTGGTTACGTAACGAGGATAGTGAAAAAAAACTAAAACAATGCCCAAAGTGTAAGTGTTAGGTTAATGTCATTGACTTGCTGATTAAGACTAGATCCAGTTAGTGTGCAAACCTTCCAGTCCTTGAGTTTGAGTTGAACTTTCGTGGAGGCTAAATAAGAGTCGTCACGCAGTAGAACAATGATTTGCGATAAGGTCCCGTGTTATGCAAATGTTAAAAAGATGTGAGAGTCGGAACTTGTTGGAAGAGAGGTTTTCGAATGCATTGTGACATCAATTTGTGCCATTTTGAAATTACCCATTGACGGGCGCCGAGCAAGAGTCACTTGTTGATGACTAGTGGTCCGAGAGCGATTGCTGAGCCGTGTGAATATTGAATTAGCCAAAGCATAACTTTCATGGAATATGAAAATGTTCTAAATGCTAATATTCTCTGTTGATTCGTTCATGCTCGAATTTTACGAATCGATTAGGGCACGAAAACGTACATTAGCTGATTTCATGCACAAAACTTCAATATTCAGTTCTTTTTTAAAATTTAAAAGATATGTACCGTACAGATTGATTTATCATACCAAATTTATCCTAGAGTTTGAATTTTCAAATGATGTTTACAAGACCTTGACAATACTCCCTGTCGCGTGCAACACCGTTACCTCAACCATGAAATAAGCAGCAGGCGTCAAACTGAACGTAGAAATATGAATATGGTGTCAAGTAAACGTCGGTTTTTTTATTGGGCCCTCGAATGATTTTGCCATTTGGAGTAGAATGCTTTCTTGCTCCTTAACGGAAATCTTAAAAATAGCAATTTATTTTAAAGTTTGTATAGGAACGGCCGGCAGTAGTAATCGACTTTGGCTTTAAATTTGTACACAAACAACTCCAAGAAGCTCAAGTACTGTAGTGATCAAGCCGGACAGTTTCAACATTTTTCTTTGGTGACCATTGTTTATTCTGAAAGTGAGAGGGAGAAGGCTTTTCAACTTTTGTTTAAACCGATTATGCAATAAACACCAACTTTTCATGCATATGTCATAACAGTTTACAGCGCGATTCAGTGAAGAACAACAAAATGTGTCTTATAAAGCAAGTTCACTTTTTAAAAATCGTTTATCAGATAAATCTTTGGCAAAGAAAATATCATTAAATTTGACTTTATGATCTGAAACTAACATGTTTTCAGGTATACCTTTGCTAATTGTTAGTAAAGAACAACTTATGATGTCGGAGAACAGATTAAACCGTTTGAAACTGCGATAGAAACGCCACAGTTTGTGACTGGCACCAACCAACGTCAAGGCGGAAAACCATTTTCGCCGAAAAGCCTACCAAATTTAGTGATTATAGAAGAGTTCTGTTTAAAAGTTACAGTTCTTAGAGCATCTGAAAATTCTCTACGCCACCGCTTTTTTTTATTCCCCTGTTCTGACTAATAGGGAGCCCACTGTTTCTCCTTAGATTCTGTATTTCCTTAAAGTCATGTCTGCCGAAACAGTGGACCCGTCCTGCCTCTTCCAATCGGCTAACGAACGCCCTGAACCAATCAGTGCTGAGGTAAGAGGTACCATCCCCACCTGGCTAACGGGAGCTTTGGTTCGGGTTGGACCTGGCAGATTTGAGTGCGGTGATACCCCGCTAAATCACTGGTTTGATGGCCAAGGACTTCTCCATCGCTTTCACATAGAAGCTGGTCAAGTGACATACAGCAACAAGTTTGTGCGAAGCGACAGTTATGCCGATTCCCTAGAACACGGAATCTCGTGTCATCTGGAGTTTGGAACGTTTGTCCCTCCAGACCCGTGCCAAAACATCTTTACTCGCTTCTTCTCGCGGTTTTGGGGAGAAGAAGTTGCTCATGATAATACCCTTGTCAACGTGTTTATGATGAAAGAAAAAATGTATGCAACGAGCGAAAGCAACTTTATTTATGAGATCGATCCTATTACCCTGAACACCTTGAAGAGAGTGGACATCGCAGACCTACCAGGTATTGACTATCTCCGGTTTGCTATAAGTGATTTTTTGTTAAAGGCGCTAGCTACACCGTTGGTTTTGTCCTGTTACAGTGTGTTGTAAAAAATGTTACTCATGCATACCTTGTTAGACTTGTTATTTTCTTGACATCTTTTTTGCTTCTTCAACCTTTGGCCATTTCCCAAAGGTAAAAGCTTAATTAATACAGGTCTGAGCGTCTTTGGATTTTCTTCACGCTTAAGAATTGTTGAAAGGCTGCTTCAATTTTGATTTGCTTTGAGAAGACTTTTTTCGATTTTTAGGATTGTGAAAACAAAATCTGTGGCTAACGACATATTTTGTTGAACATTATATTTAGACAAATGGTCGTTTTATCTCAAAGGGGGTTTGTCCCGCTATTTGCTATCTTTTCAAAAACTAAAACGTTTTTCGCGTGAATAGAACTCTAAAAAATAATGGTCTAGTTTTGTTATTTTTAAAAGACTATATTTAGGGATTGAAACTGTTTCCTGCCGTCTGTTGCTAGGGATCATGGCAAGGATTGACATGGACTGAAACTTGATAAAGTTGGGCCAAGTTATTCATCTTTTAAATGCTATGCCTACAAAAACTATCAAAAATATGGTTATTTGTTCTCCGTGATGAAATTGTTTGAAATCTTCTTCATAACCTAACAGAAGCATATTTTGTATCTGGGTAAAAACACTAACTGATGACTTCAGCACAGAATTGACTTAAATCATCAATATCCTGGTGACACAGCCGGCCTTTAAATAAAATGTTTTTTTGTTCCTCCTACAGGTGATGCTACGATAAATTCGGCAAAAGCTCATCCACAAGTCACTCAGGATGGTTCAGTGATCAACATCTCCGTGACGTATGGCAGAAACTCAGCTTACAAAATCATCCAGATACCACCTTCCTCGGGGAATGCGGGCGAGGAGCCTCTAGAGGGTGGAAAAGTGCTTTGCTCAATCCCGCCCAAGAGTGGTTTAGGGTACTTTCATAGCTTCTGCCTCACAGATAATTATATTGTTCTCACCGAACAACCCCTTATGATCGACATATGGAAAGTTCTCGGGCATCGATTTTCTGCTTCTAGTTTTGAACAATGGCTTTATTGGGATGCAAACCAGCTGGTCAGATTTCACATTATCGACAGGAAAGATGGCAACCGTGTCGGTGTCTTCACAGCCGAACCATTCTTCGTGTTCCACCACATCAACGCATTTGAAAGAGATGATAAAATTTTTCTTGATGCCTGCTGTTACTATGACAACTCGATTATAAAACAGTTGTACCTTCATAACTTGCGATCCCCCGCAGAACCAGGCCATAAAAAATTAGACGTCCCAGATATACGCCGTTATGAGATTCCTTTGGGAGATCTTGGAGATGTTAGTGCAGAGAAAGCCCTACGCAAGGGAGTAGACGGGTTAGATTATTCTTTGCTGTATGCAGGACTTGAGTTGCCGAGAATAAATTACGAAGAGTACAACGGTAAACCATACAGGTGGGTGGAAGATTCTCTGCTTTATTCGGTAGGAAAAAAAACGATATATAAAAAACCGGCCACACCTTTTTCAGCATACCTAAGAGTGTTGACACGTGAACTATCTTCGAATGATAATCGTGGCGATGTTTATGCAGCGTTCATACCTTAGTATAGTGCTTAAACTTCAAGATGGATTAGAAAGTGGTCTCCATGTTTTCGCGCAATTAAAAAGTAAAGTATTTTTTAATGATCTACCTTTACTATTACCAAACTGAAACATGATTGTTTTCTTTCATGCCGTCAGGTTTGTGTATGGCATGGGAATATTCGGAAATGCGCTATTTGAAAAGCTCATAAAACTTAATGTGGAGACCAAGGAGTTTGTAACATGGGAGGAGTCGGGTGGGTTTACTTCAGAGCCTGTGTTCGTCAAAGCGCCTGATGGGAAGGCGGAGGATGATGGCGTCATCTTGTCATGCGTGATCAACGTCCAAGAAAAGACTACCTCTCTGTTGGTACTGGATGCCAAAGAATTTAAGGAGCTTGGTCGAGCCGAGATTAAGGGAGTTACCCCAGCAACAATACATGGCTTATTTCAGTAGCATACTGAAAAAACAGCGGTTTTTCCCCGAAGAATAACATGTCATAACATAATTATCGCCCGAGCAAAATTATTCGCAAGAAAAGTAAGCTTGTAGATCTAGAGTTTGGAATGAATTACCCAAAGTTTGAAGGATTCACAATCAGTGTATAACTAGCTATCTTACATTTTCTTGACATTTGGTTGAAGCTCCGTTAAGGAGCGTTTGATGGATAGGACATCATCATTTTCCATTTTATTTGTTTAGCCCTCTAGTTTTTATCACCCATGAATAAATCTTACTCAGTTCTGAAAGGAGCCAAGAGAAGAAAATAAAATACTTTTGGTACGGTGCTGATCACTTTTGCGTTAAAGGACCGGCTTGTATCTGTTCCCTAAAGTTTTTACTTAAAATTTCCTCCTGCATCTCACCGGACGTTGCATTGTATCTTGAAAACATTGTGCTAGCATCTCTTAAAGTTGATATCGTTAATTCACCCCTTTCTTCAGCTGATTCAGCTGAAACGTGGACGGTTTCTTGGGATGCTTTAGCTGAAACGATAATAACGACTTTGGGAAGAAGCAGCCCCACGAGATTAACACTGCCAGCTACGATGAACAAGGTACAACCCACGGTTACTCTCCATTCGGAGTCATTTAAGTTAAGATAAGTTGGCATAAATATTATCCAAATAGAACACGTTATGTACATTGTGATTCCAATGTGTTTTGCTTCATTAAAATTTCTTGGATAATTGCGCGTTTTGAAGGCAAAAACGGTGCAAAGAAACATTAGAATGATATTATAACACTTATCTACTAAAACGTTAAGTATACTCTCTGAGCATATTAGTTCTGCTTGGTCCAAAGAAGGGTACTTAATAATGGCCGTTGGTGAATCTGAAATAATCCACACAGTTGTTATCATGAGCTGTACTGCCACTAGACCCAGTGATATAAGTATCTGAGACTTTGGCCTTATAAGGGGTGGTTTCGCTGCGGTTCGTCTTGCACGTGTAAAGATTCGATAGATACGGTTTGTTTTAATTAGCAACGGGGCGTACACCATTGTAAAGCAAAGACTTTCGAGGTAACGGTGTATTGTGCATACTAAATCAGTTGGTTTAGTCATGCAGCTAAAGGATGAAGAAAAGCACAAGATGACTCCTATGAATATTAGGAGGGAAAGCTCCCTGCCAGCTGCTTTGATAACACTGTGCTCCCGATTAATGACGTAAAAAACAAATGTTCCTATGGCAACAAGAATCCAAACCCCAGAAACTACAGCGAGGCTTGTCAGTGCAGGATCAGTCCATTCAGGATTAGAAATTGTAAGCTTTGTACATCGAGACAGGCTTTTGTCAGGAATATAACCGATGTTGCATGTACGACAAGTGTTGTTTACTATCACTTGATAAGCTTTACAGCGTTTACAATCCCAGCAGCAATGCCGATTAACTGATTTCCGCTCCAGTATCTCTGTGGAACTACAAGCGTTACTGCAGTACGACTGTGGCGGTCTGCTAGGCATAATTCACCCATGACACTAAAGAATCGTTGATTTTTAATTGTCCGTGTTGAGATGATTTAAATGACTTCCAAGAACCTACAACAAAATACTTCCATTCGTCCTGTTCGCCTTCTCGAAAATTGATGATGCTATAAGCTCCGTCCATTTCTTGGTTCACGTTAAAGCTTACACTGGAGTTGAACGCCGCATCGAGAAAAGTCACATAGTAATAAACTTGCTTTGAAGTTTTTCTCTCATACTATCACATAATCCTATCTTCCCCAAGCAAAGATCTCTTTGCATATCACTAAGAGCGTATGCTATGGCGTAAACGGCGTTTACTACGACACGAGCTGGCGCAAGTTCCACATCCCTTGGCAGCGATGCAACGACGCTGCAAATGTCTGGCGAATTTGGGGACGCAACACTTGCAATTTCACTGTTGAGAACGGATTGCAAGATCTCGTCAAGCTTGATTATGTGCCTATATTATGTGACTATAAACATCATCGTAGGCCAACACCGTCTAGACCAATCTAGCGCATGCCCTTAAATCCGTATGAAAAAAAATGCCAGCCTTGTGGCAGAGGTTCGTCTGTTTCGTCACTCGATTAATTTATCTTCAGACTTAAATACTCGCCAGCGCTCACCTCACTCAGCGGGACTTTATCGAACCTCCGTGGGACTGGGGAGGAGTGGAACCTGACTGGAAGATAATCTCGGCTAGGTAATCACAGGTGATCAACGAACCAAAGACTGCACTAAACTATTGCTCCAGACCTAACCTTAAATAACGAAGGAACAGATAAATTAGTGCAAGATATTTCAAACAGAAAAGCCTTGTTGAGGGTTGCGTTTATTAATTGAGTGACATGTATTACGTAAGAATCTTCAGTTGTGTGTTCTTTCTAAGGTCTTGAGGCCTTGCTTGCTGGACTGAGAGCGATGTTTTTCTACATCTGGGATGCCAAAGTTGGGATATTTAAAAGTTTCGATATGTATCTTTAATGAACAAGATATAATTATGTTTTGTTGTTGCCGTATCAAGAAATGGCCCATTGTACCGACCTGAATTTGCCAACAATAGGCCCTTTGTTCTAGGTGACACCTGCCCAGACCAAGCCCAAGTTAAAGGGGCTATGTCAGCTGGAGAGCATGCGCTCTGAGGTTATGCAAATTACTTTCAACTGTCAAAATTCTATTGTTTTTAACGCGTGACTTTCTCCATGTGCGCTGTGAGGTTATGCAAATTACTTTCAACTGTCAAAATTCTATTGTTTTTAACGCGTGACTTTCTTCATGTTCTCTGTCACGTCCAAGGTTCCGAATTTAGAGAGGTTTAGCGAAATGGGTTTAGATAAGGGATATTTCGATAGAATTTATGGAACGTTTCTTCTCTGGTTATGCTAGATCAAGAATAAAATTTCGACGACAACTTTACTTGTAGTTTTCAAGTAAAAACGCATGCCATTCATAAAATAGAGCGCAAACAAAAATTCAACAACAACATATTGTCTTATTCAACAAAATAAATGGAAGTTGTATTTTACAAACGAGCTACAAAAGACGCTAGACCGAAGATAAAGACCAAGACTGTTTCAAATCATTAACAATTAGACTTGTCTGTCGCTATTGATTTTATAATTTAGATGCTGATAGAACAAGAGACCAAGTCTTTGTTTTGATCTTAGGGAAACATACATTATCGCGCAAAATTGTTCGATCGTGCCGAATCACTGCGACGTCGAGAAAAACCCAGCATCATTGGTATACTACTCCACCATAAGCAGTCCGTTGATAAAAAGGGAAAGCAAACTCTGCTATTTTCCAAAATTATGCTCCAACACAAATAGTTCAAAAACATGGCATTTACAGGATCTAACTCGTACTAAGGTGCCTCTCTAAGTCCGTTGAGAACAATCTGGACGAGCAAACGGTCGTGTTTATCTTTGCCGTGGATCGAGATAAATACAAGAAGGAATCTAGCCGAATTTTAGAATGTTTCCTTCGCCAGGAGTTTAGTTTCGTCACGAAGTGACTCATGGCCTGATGCTCTTGTAATCGTTTACAAGAAACGGCCGCCGCCAACTCGATAGCCGCTTCATTATATGTCCACATACTTTGAGCACAAGAAAAATCCAAGAGCCAGTAGCCTCTAAAATAACTCAATAGAAAGGTCCTGTGAACTATAGGGAAGATTCCATCAAAGATTCCATCACTCATTGTGGAGTAGCCGTCATTAACTCTGCCATTACAACGGCCGCTGATAAGAGGACACAGTAAATCCACGTAAAAACATTCCACAGGCAAACAATTTTAAAATAACGCCAAAAAATTGTTTTGTAATCACCATAGAATGATTCTTAATACAAAACTTCGCTAACTATCGAACGATGGCTGAGATTTAGACAGATAAAAACAGCCTTCCAAAATCTCCGACACAACTTGAAAAAGTTGGGCTGTCTTTTTCAAGTTTGTTTTCATTGGCTCGCGCATGCGTGTTGGGTGACATAGCCCCTTTAAGCTGACTAACATTTTACATAACAAACTAGTTAGATCTAAAATACCACTTTATTTTCAGGAAGAGGATCCACCACTGGTGAGTTATAAGTATACTAATAATATTTCTAGGAGTGTGTTCAATCATAATCAAGCCCTTCGTAATATTAATTTCGATGATTATCGTAATGCGCCTTGCCAGTCTTCAACTTTTCGTTATGAGCCTCATGTTCATGTAATTACCGGGGATCTACGAATCGTAAGGAACAGAAAACTTAGACGTCTACTAGAGAAAGGTCCAAAGTACAGGGAGCAGAATAATATCGATTGGCATCTTAACAAGAAGATATTGACAATGGTGGTAGATGATTACGTCAAGAATTGGAGTAAACGAGAGGGATGTCACGTGTCAGCTCTGGAGGAATAGTCGGAAACGGTAAAACTCATCATCAGCAACAGGATAAACAGTTTGCAACATCGAAGTTTTCTTCCTTGTCATAGAATCTTAGAAGACCCGCATATCAAGGCGTACTTGACAGAACTTCAAAGTAAATACGTACTGGTTCCTGCGGATCCCGGGGGGGGGGGTACTGCCATATATGGGCTATATAGGTATGTGCCGCTGTGAAGGGTATGGTTTTCGGGCAGTTTACTCTAGGATAGGGTATATAAATCAGAGCGTTTGGGTCTAGAATAGGGTATCATTTTTCAGGAAACTGATCAGTTCGTTGAAGATTTTATCTGGACAAGGGAAACAGCTACTCTAGGATAGGGGGATTTGGGGAGTTTACTCTGGTATAGGGTAGCAAAATTCAGCTGAACTAGGTCTGGTATAGGTTAAGGGTTCCAGGGTCCCAGCGGCACATCCCCACCCAGAAATTCCTAAAGTACCCCCCCTGGGCTGCGGATAAAGCCGGCAACAACATCATTTTCGTTTGCAATTACTATTACATACATACTCTAATGGAGGCGCTTGGCATAAATTCGGGTACGAATCTTAATTCTACATATGT